GCCAGGTGCAGCCCAGCCCCCCTCCCCCCAGGTGCAGCCCAGCCCCCGGTCCTCGGCTTCCCGTCCGCCCCGCTCACTTGTTTTCCAGCACGATCTCTGGGAGCCAGACGAGTTCCGAAGGGACCCGCAGGATCTCCACACCGCCGAAGTCGTCCTTGCTGTAGTTGAGCCGGTAATCCTGCCAGTCCTAAGGAGTGGGGGTGGTGCGCTCCGGCGCCCTGCACCTCCCACCTGGTGACGGCCAGGAGACTGGGAGAAAGGGCCCAAGACCTCCCGCTGTTTCCCAGATTGGACTCACGATTCCAATCCAGACGCTGGTGGTGAGGGTCTCCTCTTTCTCGTTCTGCGGACAAGGGTCAGGATGGTGGAAGTGGGATTCCAGAGCCAGGGGTTCAATGTCAGGCTCGGGGCTGCGGGCGGGGTACCGTACCAGGGAGATGAGGTTGGTCAGGGTGACCTTGAGGGTGACGGTAACAGTCTCTTCAGACTCCTTCACTGGCCGCCGCTCTGGGTCATAGTTGTCGAAGAGATGGTGGTAAAGACGCAGCTCCTCGTTCTTCGCCTCACCTCCACCTGGGGATGGGGTCAAGTGGTGGGCTCACAGCAGAGGAAGGGCTGGGAGGGGGGCCCTCTCTGCTGCCTCCAGGTCTGCACAGGGCTCTGCTGCATGTGTCTCTGAGGCTCTGTGCCCTTCCCTGTCTCCTGAGCCAGGTACCAAGCCTGCTTCTCGGTTTCCCGTCTTTGCCCCGTCCCTGGGCGTCCCTCTCCCTGTGCGTGTGGCCGACCCTTGTCCCTACCGAGGAGCTGCAAGAGGAGCAGGGTGCCCAGCAGGGCCCCTGCCATCGCGCTGTCTGGTCCTCGGGGTTATTCTGAGCCCTGGCAGGCTTTAGGGGGGCAGGCCAGGGTGTGGGAGGGAGGGAGGCGGGTGTTAGTTCCGGGCTGGGTTAGGGGACTGTCACCTAATCCTCTTCCCACCGCTACTGCAGCCAGAGACATTTTGGCTGCTCCCAGAGGCAGCTGCCCCATCCCAGCGTCCTTTGCCCGCTGTTTGGCCGGCGCTGCGGCCACAGACCCGACCTTCTTACGGCCGGAGCAACCGGGTGCAGGTGCAGGTCCTTGAAGAGCACCTGGAACCACAAGCCTGGCAGTGGGGGCAGGGGGTGGCCCTGCTCTGAACATGCGCTGGTGTCCCTTGAGTAAGCCGCCCTGTGCAGGTGACACCCCTTGCCTCCTGTCACTCATGTGGAACACGTTACCACCACCCCCGGCCCAGCCAAGGCCACAGCAATGCGGTTTCCGCCCGCGGAGTCTGGCGAAGTCTCCACAAAGCTGGTAATAAGACAGGCGGCCGCAGGGGATCACTCGGCAGGAACAGACCACCTGGCAACGAGACCCTGCGGCAATAGGGCGGCCTCCCCCCCCACAGCCTAAATCCCAGGTGGGCCCACCCGCGGCCCCTCCCGGGACCTGCCACAGACGCCCGTTTCTCCTGGCCTCTCTGCTGCCACCTTGTGGCCACATCTGGTGATAACGCCTTCCCGCCCCAAGCACACTTGAACTGATTCTTTGCGATTTTATCTTAAAGTGTCCTTGGACCACCCTAGTCGATCATCTGAGGTGCTTGCTTACAATTCCTATTCCTAGGTTCCGTCCCCAAAGAGCCCTGAGTTAGGAGGATGCCAGAGTTGGGGTGCCAGGGATCTGGTTTTTCTCTTTAAGAAGCTGTCCGTGTTTGCGCATGCACTTTTTGTGCCTTGCCCATTGCGTCCTCATGCTAATCCGGGGAGGTGGTTTCCGTTGTCCCGAAAGTACGAAGGGGGACTCTGGTCAGGTCCACGGTCACAAGAGCCGGTGGGCAGTGACGCTGGAGCTCCGGCAGTCAGCTTTACTGATCATGTGCCGCTGCGTTCCTTTCACACTTGACAAAACGCTTTCATGTCCGTTCTTTTGGGGTGTTCTTCCTCTACCTGTGAGGTCCCTCCTCCTCGCGCCCGTGTTACAAGCGAGGACCCCAAAAGCCAGAGGGTCCATGCAGCTTGTCCCATTTCCCAGGCGTCCTTGAAGCCGCCCCTTCCACGGCGAACAGGCTCATCCTTCCGCCCTCTCCCCTCCAGCTCTGCAGAGCGGATGTGCTGGGCCCAGCTCAGCTCCGTGCACGCGGCCGGTGGATGCACTGGTTCTGATCTGTGCAGTGGTCTATTCCGTGGTCCCTGGGCCAAGAGCTCTGACAAATGCAGGGATTTATGGGACGTGAAAGGGCCCTGCAAGGTCCCTGCCCTGGCCCAGCCACTCGGATTCTAGAGCTGGATAAACCGCAGCGGCCAGCAGGAGGGGGCCTTCGGTGACAGCAGCGTGGTCCGAGGGTAGCTGGGGCACCGCGTCATTTGGCTTCCCTGTGTTACAAGAAGCAGCTCCACAGGGCAGGTGTCCTGTGGGCTTCCGCGAGGACTGGGACAGACGGGGCCGTGTCGGAGGCCAAGGCAGCTCCAGGGACCCGCCACTCCCGCCTTTCCCACCTCAGCTCTGCTCTGTGCTCCTCTGGATCCTGACCAGCCTACCTTTTCTCACGGCCTTGTAAGCCCCTCTGCGGTGTGGGCCCAGCTTTCTCATGGTGGCGGCTGCCCTCTTCGTGGGCAAAGTTCGGACTTTGTTCCCACTGCCCCCCCAACCCCCTGCCCGAGGCCCTGAGGCTGCAGGTGCAGGCCAGGAACAGGCAGGGGATTGACCTAAGACTGTCTCAGGGATGGGCACGGAGCTGGTGTGGCTGCGGAGCTGGGGGCTGGGTGCGGAGCTGGTGCGGGTGCGGAGCTGGTGTGGGCGCGGAGCTGGGGGCTGGGCGCAGAGCTGGTGCAGGCATGGAGCTGGGGGCTGGGTGCGGAGCTGGTGTGGGTGCACAGCTGGTGTGGGCGCGGAGCTGGGGGCTGGGCGCGGGGC